TGATGAAACAATGGTCTCTATTGATGTCACATCACTCTTTACATGCATTCCTGTTGATGATGCAGTAAAGGTGGTCAGTTTAAAATTAAAATCAGACACCACTCTGAGCAGCAGGACCACACTTTCCACAGAACAACTGTGTCAACTCTTGAAACTGTGCCTGCAGTCAACCTACTTCACATATGGGGAGCAATATTATAGGCAGAAACATGGGTGTGCTATGGGGTCTCCAGTTTCTCCTATTGTTGCCAACCTGTACATGGAGGAGGTAGAAAAGAGAGCCTTGACGTCCTTTTCAGGGACACCACCAAGTCATTGGTTCAGGTATGTTGACGACACCTGGGTTAAAATCAAATCTCAGGAAGTCCAACATTTTACTGACCACATCAACTCTGTGGATAAATACTTCAAGTTCACACGAGAAGATGTAAAAAATGGCAGGTTGGCTTTCTTGGACTGTGAGGTCTCAGTCTCTGATAGAGGACATTTGCAAATTGAGGTTTACCGCAAACCCACCCACACAGACCAGTATTTGCAGTTTGACTCCCATCACCCTTTGGAGCACAAGTTAGGAGTCATCAGAACTCTGTATCACAGAGCAGACAGCGTCCCCACTAGCTCAGGAGCCAGGCAGAAGGAGAAATCCCACACAAGACAGGCTCTAGAGCAATGTGGATATCCTAACTGGGCCTTCCTGAAAGCAGAGAAGAAACCCAAACAGGACTCCAGTCAGCCAACAGGTCAAGTCAAGTCAAGTCATCTTTATTTGTAGAGCACAATTTAAAACAGATAAACTGTTATCAAAGTGCTTAACAGAAATGTAGCAAAACATAGGCAGCAAAACAAAAACATCATACAGAATTAAAATTACTGGAGCAATAACACACACTAATGATCACACTAACGAAAAACAAGCAGTAAAAATAAACGTCAATCATAAAACAACAGAATTTAAAATGAGGTACACAGAACAAAATAAACTAACTCACACCGTATTAAACGCCAGAGCAAACAGGTGCGTTTTAAGGAGGGATTTGAACATCAGGAGGGAGGAGGCCTGCCTGATGTAGAGGGGCAGGTTGTTCCACAGGTTGGGACCTCTGACTGAAAAAGCTCGATCCCCTCGGAGCTTCAGGCGTGATTTTGGAACGACCAAAAGAAGCTGGTCCGATGATCTCAGGGCCCGAGACGGAACATATGGTTCCAGGAGCTCGGAGAGGTAGAGGGGTGCGAGGCCATTTAGGCACTTATATGTCAGGAGGAGAATCTTGAAGTCGATTCTGGATCGCACAGGAAGCCAGTGAAGGGAGGACAGAACAGGTGTGATGTGCTCAGACCTACGTGTACCAGTTAAAAGCCGAGCAGCTGCATTTTGGACGAGCTGGAGACGTGAAATGGACGCCTGACTGACCCCAGCATAAAGTGAGTTACAATAGTCCAGGCGGGTTGTGATGAAGGCATGGACTAATGTTTCAAGGTTGGGTCTGGATAACACTGGCTTGAGCTTAGCTACCTGCCGCAGTTGGAAAAAACTTTTCTGCAGAACTGAACTGATCTGTTTGTCAAACTTAAAATCCGAGTCAAAAACCACCCCGAGATTTCTAACAGTGTGCTTGAGATAGGGCTGAAGTGAGTCCAGGTTTGCAGGATCTGAGGAGGCAGCTGAGCTAGGACTAAAGACGATGACTTCAGTTTTCTGGTCGTTAAAACTGAGAAAATTTGAAGTCATCCATGCCTTAATGTCATCTAGACATTTGAGGAGAGGGTGGATGGAACGAGCACTGGCTGGTTTCAGTGGCAGGTAGATCTGGCAGTCATCGGCATAGCAATGGAATGAGATGGCATGTTTTCTTAAGATGGATCCCAGTGGGAGCAGATAGAGCGAGAAGAGAAGGGGTCCAAGGATCGAGCCCTGTGGGACCCCGCAGGAAAGAGGGACCGAAGTGGACAGACTTTCACCAACCTTGACACAAAAAGTCCTGTCAGAGAGGTAAGAACGGAACCAGTCTAAAGCAGCTCCTGTAATCCCAACCCAGTGTTCGAGCCGTGAGATGAGGATACTGTGGTCGACGGTGTCAAAAGCAGCAGTAAGATCAAGGAGTACAAGTACCACATAGTGACCAGAATCGTTTGAAGTTAAAATGTCATTGCAAACCCTAACCAAAGCTGTTTCTGTGCTGTGGAGTTGCTTAAAACCAGACTGAAAGACCTCAAAGATTTTGTTCTCAGTTAAAAATTGATTCAACTGAGTAAAAACTATTTTTTCTAGGATTTTGGACAGGAAGGGAAGCTTTGAGATTGGTCTGTAATTTGAGTGCACTGAGGGGTCAAGTCCAGGTTTCTTGATTAAAGGAGTGACTACTGCATTTTTAAAGGCCTGTGGAACCACGCTTGTAGCAAAGCTACTGTTAAGAATATTAAGAACAGCGGGCCCAATCGTTGGTAGAACCTGTTTGAACAGTGAGGGAGAGATTGGATCAGCAGGGGAGCCTGAGGGTTTCATGTGACCAACAACTTTGTTTTACAATGGGAGTGTGATTGGATTGAAATTCCTGAAAGTGGCTGAACATGGGACAAAAACCGATGGGTCAACTGAGGAGCGGGGGATGGAAGATCTGATCAGCTCTACCTTACCAACAAAGAATCTTGTGAAGTCGTTACAGACGTCCACAGAGGCGTCCATGCATTCAGACAAAGGGCCATTAAGAATGGAATTTACTGCTGTGAAAAGGGTGCGGGGGTTGTTTTTATTTTCACTGATCAGTTGGGAGAAGTATTTGTTTTTTTCTGATTTGACGGTGTTTTGGTAATTTTTTAAACAGGTTTTTAGCAAAATGAAAGAAACCTGGAGTTGGTCCTTTTTCCATTTGCGCTCTGCTCTCCTGCACAGTCGTCTCGCTGCCCTGGTGGTCTCGTTTATCCACGGGTACTGGGTTCTCCTTGCTTTCCTGACTTTCAGTGGGGCCACCAGATCCAAGATCTTGGTGCAGGTCTCATTGTGGTGACTAAGCAGCTCATGAGTACTGACACAGGCAGAGGTATCAGGAGTTGAAACAGCAGTGGTGATAAAAGCAGGTGAAAACAGGTGAAAAGGAGGAACCCAGACCCAGACCAGTGGTCATTCCATATGTTGAGGGAGTATCAGAGAAACTGAGACATTTATTTTCTAAACATAACGTCCCAGTGGCTTTTAAACCCCAAAATACATTACGGCAAAGACTGGTTCATCCCAAAGATCCAGTCCCCCGGCACAAACAGAGCAATGTTGTGTATGCTGTTCAGTGTCAGGAGGGCTGTGATCAGTCCTACATCGGGGAAACAAAACAGCCACTAGCCAAAAGGATGGCCCAGCACAGAAGATCAACATCATCAGGCCAGGACTCTGCGGTCTACACTCATCTCCAGGCCAGTGGTCACTCTTTCAAGGATGAAGATGTTCACATCCTGGACAGAGAGGAACAATGGTTTGAGAGAGGAGTAAAGGAGGCCATCTTTGTGAAAAGAAATCGTCCATCATTAAACAGGGGTGGAGGCCTCCGGGTTCAACTGTCCCCCTCTTACAATGCTGTGATTGCTAGTATCACTCAGCCCTCTGTGAGTAGTAAACAGCCATCAGTGTGCTAATGACCCATTGTTAGGCTGATGGTCCTTCTTGAGCATATGATCAGCTGGTTTTTGTTGTCAGCAGCAAAACTGGTTGATCCACTCTGAGAAGGTGCTATTTAAGAGACTGAGCTGAATACAGCTCCTCAGACTGAGGAAGTCTCTCGGATGAGAGACGAAACGTTTCTACATTTTTTTGTTGATTTGCTTTGTTTTTTGTTTTTTTTTGAATGTCCAGAGGACCAGATTTAACTTTTTTAGATTTTTATACCTGGATTATTGAGCATGCATCAGGATACCCATAAATGTGTTTTGTGGATGTGGAAAAGGCATTTCATCATGTTCCTTTTTGTACACTGTTGGGGGTGCTCCACGAATATGTGATTGGGGGCCCATTTCTATAGGCTAGGGTTAACATTACCGTGCCATGATCTTCAGCTATTGGTGGAGCGATTTCCACATTTTCTTAAAAGAGCACTTTAGTCAAGGACTGCAGATTTTGTTGTTGTTGCTAGATAATCTAAATGTAGAATGGGATGTATAGCTTTCAGTTATCAGGTTCCACTCTTCCAGGTAATGTTCGTGAGCCTGACAGTGTCTATTTTTAAGATTTAGCTTTTTGATAAATTATAAGTTGGGTTTGGTTAAAGCTATGGGGAATATTTAAGGTTACAGGAAAAATTTATATATGTATGTTAACTTATGTACAGTAGTCCCTCGCTACTTCGCAGTTCATTGTTCATGGACTCACTTTATCACAGTTTTTCAGAGTAAGAATGGACATGACACACGGTTGGCTGACTGATGGATGAGCCACATGATTGGCATGGATTTTTAATTTTAGATAAATAATTTTAAATGATTTAGCACCTGCTGCAACTTTCTGCAGCCCATAACTGAATAAAAAGCTTCCTTCTGCACCTCTGTGCAGCCCACACTGCAGGAAAAGCTTCCTCTTGCAGTTAATCAGCTGATCTCCGTGCAGAGCGGAGAAGTGGGTGTGGCCAATAGCGTTTGCAGGTGGCACAGAGTAGCCATGGCAGAGAGCTGAGATCATGACATTATGTGCTCTTTTAGAGCATTTGGAGTTTAGAAACATTGTTTAGAATATTGCAAGTTTGGGAAGGGTTTTAAAACACCTTTATACACACACACACACACACACACACACACACACACACACACACACACATATATATATATATAGACATATATATACACACACACACACACACTAGAATAAACTACTACTTACTACTTGTACTACTATCCCTACTTTGCCATTTTTCACTTATCTCAGTGCTTCAGGGTACAGATCCCCCACAATAAATGAGGGGCTACTGTATTATATGTATAATATGTTATAGGTATGTTAACCCTATGTATTGCTTATCGGGTTATGACATACCACAGTCGGCTTCATCTGATCCATCAAGACAGTCAACCACACCATCACAATGACTGTTACCAGAGATACAACTTCCTATCTGGCACTGGAACTGATCGACTGCACATGGAGCTGTTTACAAACAATAAAAAAATCATTAATCAATCCATCTAGTAAACAAAATCAATCAGAGCAATGAGCATTAGCTCACCTGGAGACCCCAGGTCAACCCCACAGGTAAAATTGGCCTTGAATCCACGGCCATAGCCACCACTGTCTGTGTAGAACCATACTGACATCTGATTGGCTGTTGAGAATAAATCATGGGTGGGTCCTTTGCTGCCAGTGAGCACAGCTGGAATGAAAATACAAAGAAGTTAGTGCCTAAAGAAGCAGCCTGTACAGGTGGGGGTCTATCAGCAGAACACCGTCTCACCCAGTAAATTGGAATTAGGCCCTGTCCCATCCCGCACCTCCACCATGTCAAAAGTCGCCTCAGTATCAAAGTCTAGGAAGTGGAGCTGGATATTCTGACCCTCCTCTGCATTCAAAGTCCACAGACCTGCAACAGAGAGTCATGGGTAACATTCATTAAGGTGACAGGTAATGTTTAAACATGTCTACATAGAAGAAGTGCAGGTAGAAGTACAGGTACAGCATTTGTTGAGAGATTTCTAAGCATTAAAAGATGCTGAGAAACTGGTTTGAACTGATATAAAATTTGATGCAGTCATTGATTTCTCAACTGTCTTGTTTCTGTGGAAACTGAGTGCAACTATGCGGACCTGCAAATCAGTCAGACTTGTTTTCATATTTATAAATAGAAAAGTATCATGATGCATGCTCAATAAGCCAGGTAGAAAAATCTAAAAAAGTTAAGTCTGGTCCTCTGGACATTCAAAAAAAATTTAAAAAAGTATAAACGTTTCGTCTTTCATCCGAAAGACTTCTTCAGTCTGAGGTGCTGCATTCAGCTCAGTCTTATAAATAGCACCTTCTCATAGTGGATCAACCAGTTTGCTTCTGACAGCCAAAACTAGCTGCTCACACGATCAAGGAGGACCACCAGCATCAGGGTTCTAACGATGGATCATTAGCACCCTGATGGTTTTTTGCTATTCACATGGGGGTGAGTAATACTAGCAATAACAGCATTGTAAGAGGTAGACAGTTGAACATGGAGGCCTCTGCCCCTTTTTAATGATGGACGGTTTATTTTAACAAAGATGGCCTCCTTTACTCCTCTCTCAATCTCATCGTTCCCTTCTATCAAGGATGTGAACATCTTCATCCCTGAAAGAGTGACCACTGGCCTGGAGAAGAGTGTAGACCACTGAGTCCTGGCCTGATGATGTTGATCTTCTGTGCTGGGCCATCCTTTTGGCCAGTGGCTGTTTAGTTTCCCCGATGTAAGACTGATCACAGCCTTCCTGACACTGAACAGCATACACAATATTACTCTGTTTGTGCCGGGGGACTGGATCTTTGGGATGAACCAGTCTTTGCTGTAATGTATTTTGGGGTCTAAAAGCCACTGGGATGTTGTGTTTAGAAAATAAACATCTCAGTTTCTCTGATACTTCCGCAACATACTGAATGACCAATGGTCTGGGTTCCTCCTTTTCACCTGATGGCTGACTGGAGTCCTGCTTGGGTTTCTTCTCTGTTTTCAGGATGGCCCTGTTAGGATATCCACATTTCTCTAGAGCCTGTCTTGTGAGGGATTTCTCCTTCTGTCTGGCTCCTGAGTTAGTGGGGACACTGTCTGCTCTATGGTACAGAGTCCTGATGACTCCTAACTTGTACTCCAAAGGGTGATGGGAGTCAAACTGCAAATACTGGTCTGTGTGGGTGGGTTTGTTGTACACCTCAGTTTGCAAATGTCCTCTATCAGAGACTGCGACCTCACAGTCCAAGAAGACTACCATTTTTTACATCTTCTCGTGTGAACTGTATATGTTTATTTACAGAGTTGATGTGATCAGTGACGTGTTGGACTTCCTGAGCTTTAATTTTAACCCAGGTGTCGTCAACATACCTGAACCAATGACTTGGTGGTGTTCCTGAAAAGGATGTCAAGGCTCTCTTTTCTACCTCCTTCATGTACAGGTTGGCAACAATAGGAGAAACTGGAGACCCCATAGCACACCCGTTTCTGCGTATAATATTGCTCCCCATATGTGATGTAGGTCTACTACATGAACAGTTTCAAGAGTTGACACAGTTGTTCTGTGGAAAGCGTGGTTCTGCTGCTCAGAGTGGTGTCTGATTTTAACCTTAAACTGACCACCTTTACTGCCTCATCAACAGGAATGCATGTAAATAGTGATGTGACATCAAAATAGACCATTATTTCATCAGTCTCCATGATGACAACCCTCACCTTATCCACAAAGTCCATGGTGTTCTGTATGTGGTGTTCTGAGTTGCCAACTAAAGGGATGAGTACAGAAGCCAGATATTTGGAAACATTGTAAGTGACAGAGTTAATCATGCTAACAATTGGCCTTAAAGGTATACTTTGTTTGTGGATTTTAGGTAAACCATACAGATTAGGTGTGGCCTCCTCTGGGTACAGTATCTGTTACAGAATACAGTCAATAGCCTTGTCCTGCTCCAAAATTTTCAGGCAGTCTTTCAACTTCTTGTAGCCACTTTCTGAATCTCTTTTGAGTGGCTCATAAGTGATTAAGTCACCAAGGAGTGTCATAACTTTTTCATGATAGTTTTTCTGGTTCAATATCACTGTGCACCTTCCTTTGTCTGCTGGAAGAATGTTGATGTTTTTGTTCTTGCTAAGAATGGTGAGTGCATCCCTCTCCTCTCTACTGATGTTGAAAGGTGGTGGTTTGGCATTGCTAAGGCAGGCTGAAACTTTGATTCTGAGCTGTTCTGCATCACATTTTAATTTTGTTGTTGTGGATGGCGGATTCTGTGTCTGTGATCATCTCCACCAGAAGAATTATTCTTGGTGCAACTGCAAAGTTCAGGCCCCTGGCAAGAATATCTGTCTCTCTCTGGGTGAGCTGTCTGTCAGATAAATTCTTCACCCACTTTTCTGTCTCCCTGGCATGTAACTGTCTAGTGGAGTGTTGTCTTACACTTAATGTATTGTTATTGGAATTGTGATGGTGTTGATGTGTTATCATTAAATTAAATTGTTTTGTTGTCGAGTCTTGGACTTGACATGCTGTGCTAAGCATACCTGATCTGTACAGTCCATCACTTGCTGAAGTGTGGTCTGATCTAGGCATGTTGTTAGTTTTTGTTTAATATGCTCTTCTTTGGCCTCCAAGGCCTCAATAGTAAAATTGATCTGTCTCACCCGTTCTTTCAGCAGCTGGGTCTGTGCGTTCTGAAGGATCTTGGTTGCCCGGTGCCCACTGACAGAAGATTTCAGTTCCAGGCTCTTGGGAACAATGCCAATTTGTCGACATCTCAGATGGTTTGAGAGATGAGTAAAGGAGGCCATCTTTGTGAAAAGACACCGTCCATCATTAAACAGGGGCGGAGGCCTCCGTGTTCAACTGTCCACCTCTTACAGTGCTGGTATTGCTAGTATCACTCAGCCCCCTGTGAATAGCAAACAGCCATCATGGTGCTAACAATCCATCGTTAGGTTGATGGTCCTCCTTGATCATGTGAGCAGCTAGTTTTGAATGTCAGCAGCAAACTGGTTGATCCACTATGAGAAGGTGCTATTTATAAGACGGAGCTAAATTCAGCACCTCAGACTGAAAAAGTCTTTTGGATGAAAGACGAAATATTTCTACTTTTTTTTGAATGTCCAGAGGACCAAACTTAACTTTTTTTGATAAATAAAAAAGGTAAAGATAAATATAAAACAGACAAGGGTATGGATAGGTAAATGTATAAGTAAGAGGATAGATATGAGTACAGGTAGATGTGTAGGTATGATACAGACATAGATTCAGGACATATTTACTCACACTCTGCATCTTTACCATAGGAGCTTGGGTAGTTTGGAGAGCTAAAGGAAGAATTTGGTTCCCAGAGGTGAAAAGGTCCTCCACAGTCAGCTGCACAAATCATGGAAAAGAGGGATGGGGTTGGGCAGGATCCACATCATAGGTGTGCTAATGGCTTTAGTCAGGTACATAGATTGTATCACTAATAATACAACAGACACTACACAACAGGACAAGACTGCACAACATAATTAGCACAATGGTTTTGAAAGAGAGGAACACATTAGTGGGGTTGGAATACTTAATTCACCACCTTAAAGGGAATGGTCTGGGTCTCCTTTGGTAATTGGACAGGATCTAAGTCTCACCTTCTTAGGGGATGTGGTCTACATCTCACTTTTAAATGGGCAGGATCCATATTACACTTTTAATGGGGGCTTGGTCTGAGTCTGACCTGGTCATTGGACTGGGTCTAAGTCGCAAGTCTCACTTCTTGAGTGGAAATGGTCTGAGTCTCACCTGGTATGGGGGGCTGGGTGATTGGAGGTGGGACATTGGTTGGCTCAGGTGGTGAAGGGCCACAGGCATCAGATGTCAATATGATGTCATCTAGAGCAATGTCATTTCTCATGCCTCCTTTCTTCTGAGCTTCAAAGATCACCTGTGAAGGCGATGTGATCATTGAGCTGATCAATGCCACTGCCTAAGCTGAGAACGTCCTATGAGATGTTACTGACCGTGGCCTCTGAGGACAGGTTGAGGGTCACCTGGCCATAATTCCAGGTGTCACCATAATTACCATCTTTCTGGAACACCACAGTATCATCAACATTGGTCAGCAACAAAGATGAACTAAGCAGGACTCTGAGACGGTGGACATCTTCACCAAACATGTGATACCTGCAAAGATGTTTACACATTTATCTGTTGATGTTTTTACATGTTTAATCAGGGACACACTTTAATAGTTTACTTCATGCCCATTATTTTTATCTAAATAATGTATTCATGAGCAGATAAATGTTTACTCATTTCTCATATTTCATGAATATTTGCTTACATTTGTACTTAAAATACTTTTTAAAGTGTATATATTTAATTGTATTTTATTTGCTTATTAAATACAATTCAATTCAGTTTATTTATATAGCACCAATTCACAGCAGAAGTTGTCTCAGAACACGATATAGAAACGTTCACATAGATTACAAAAGAAATAAAAGAAAAATAAGTAAATTTGTGATTTCCTTGTTAGTTATTGACTTCTACATTTTATTGTTTTGCCTAACTGTCCGTATCGTTTCCCTTCCCTTGACCCTACAAGTACCTGTTGGTGCAGCCAGGCCAGCTCTGTAAATAAGAATTAGTTTTTAGTAATTATGCCTGGTTAAATAAAGGTGAAATGAAATGGAAAAACTAGTAAAAGTTCTCTATCTAAGGAAGCAGCAGATTGTGTTGAATCTTTACTTCGTCAATCTCCCATCCTGAAGCACAAAGGAAACAGTGGAAGGAAAAACTCCCTTTAACAAGAAGAAACCTCCAGCAGAAGCAGGCTCAGGATGAGCGGCCATCTGCTTCCACTGGCTTGGCCTGTTATTTGCTTGATGTTTAAATGGTTTGTTAAATATTAATTTATTTGATCTTGTTTTCTTTTTTAACATATTTCTGATTTCTTCACCTTTGTCATTGTTTTCTTTTTTTAATTGATTTTTTAATTATTTACATGTTTATTTATACTCGGTTTTAATTTTTTTCTTCTTCTTGTCGAATTACTTGTTTATGTCTTTTGTTAAACCTGTACACAGCATTGGTTTTCAGATGAGTATCTGTTATCTGTTCTCTATCTCAGAATTTCCAATTTTTTTATTGGTTCCATGTTTGTTTTTGTTTCATCTAAGGCAGATAGCTAAGCCTAAGTCCGTGCTGACCAAATCCAAATGGACCAAATGGACCCGTCCTTAAAACTCAACAGTCACGTAAACATGATGGTCAAATCCTGTTTTTTTCAGCTGAGACGGCTGTCTAAGCTGAAGCCTATACTCTCCAAAAAGAACCTTGAGACAGTGATCCACGCCTTCATAACATCTAGGCTTGATTACTGCAATTCACTTCTGTTTGGAATCAGTCAGTCCTCCATTGCTCGTCTACAACTGGTCCAAAATGCTGCAGCCCGATTTTTAACTGGTACAGGCTATAGAGAGCACATCACGCCAGTTTTGGCCTCCCTGCACTGGCTACCCATTCACCTTCGGATCCATTTCAAAATTCTCATGTATGTTTTTAAATCACTGAACAGTTCCGCCCCATCCTATCTCACTGATCTTCTGCAGCCATATGTCCCACCGCGCTCTCTGAGGTCAGCAGACCAGATGCTTCTCTCAGTCCCAGAAACCCGTCGTAAGCTCAGGGGTGACAAGGCTTTCTCTGTTGCAGGTCCACGACTGTGGAATGAGTTGCCACTGAGTGTCCGGCAGGATCCCACACTCTCAGTCTTTAAGTCTTGCTTGAAGACCCACTTCTATTCGCTTGCCTTTAACACGGTGTGATTTGTTTTGGTCCGGTCTGTTCTCTACTCTGTTGGCCATTTTAGTTAGCTTCTGCTGCTATTTGTATCTGTATTTCTATTTTATGTTTTCCTGTCCGCTGTGCATGTTTGTGTTCTTTTGTACAGCACTTTGGTTGGCCTTGTTGCTGTTTTAAGTGCTATATAAATAAATTGGTATTGGTATGGTAAATCCGACATTGAAAAATTAGTCCATGCATTCGTTTCAACCCAGATGGACTACTGTAACTCACTTTATGCTGGAGTCAGTCAGGTTTCCCTCTTACATTTCCAGCTCATCCAAAACACAACTCGGCTATTAACAGGAGCTCATAGGTTTGAGCACATTTAACTGGTTCTGTCCTCCCTTCACTGGCTCCCTGTACATGTCAGAATCCATCCATCCATCCATTTTCTTTACCCGCTTGTTCCATTTTGGGTCACGGGGATCGCCGGTGCCCATGTCCAGCAATCACTGTGCGAGGGGCGGGGTACACCCTGGACGGGTCGCAAGTCCATCACAGGGACACACAGAAACAAACGAGACAAACAACCATTCACTCTCTCACTCACACCTAGGGACAATTTAGAGTTACCAATCAGCCTAACATGCATGTTTTTGGTCTGTGGGAGGAAACCGGAGTACCCGGAGAAAACCCACGCATGCATGGAGAGAACATGCAAACTCCACCCAGAAAGGCCCCCGGACCGGGGTTTGAACCAGGGACCTGCTCGCTGAGAAGCAGCAGCTCTACCAGTTGCGCCACCGTGCTGCCTATGTCAGAATTGATTTAAAAAAATTCTGCTGACATTTAAGTGCATTAATGGCCTTGCACCCATACCTCTGCGATCTTCTTCATCCTTATGCTCCTTCTCGGGCTTTGAGATCATCGGACCAGCTGCTTTTGGTGGTACCAAAAACCAGGTTGAAGCTCAGAGGAGATCGAGCCTTTTCAGTCATGGGCCCTAAACTCTGGAGCAATCTGCCCATTAACATTCAACAGGCCACTTCAGTCCCTGTTTTTAAATCTCTCCTCAAAACACACCTGTAGTCATTGGCATTTAATACAGTGTGATCTAATTTAGTACTTCATTGTTGCTGATTGTGTTTGTTCCTTTTGCTTTTATTGCTTGACATTTCACACTGGGCAATATGTTTTAGTATTTTATTGTTACTGTGTTCATGTTTTTATGCATTTATTCCTGATGCTGTATTTATATCTTGTTATTTTTATTTGATGCTGTGATCTATTTGTTAAGCACTTTGGTAACAGTTCCTGTTTTAAATGTTCTATACATAAAAATTTGACTTGAATTGTTTGTCATTGTTTACCAGAAGCTTAAACACATTGGCTGTAAGGGCAAAGTCAAAGGGAGGCTGTGGATCCTGAAACTCCTCTGCCATTGGCCAGGGCTCAGAGGAGTGACAATGTAGAAGCCTATAAGAGATTAATCGATGGATTAGTCTAATTAATCAATCAGTACAGTCAATTCAAGCAATTCAGGCAGATGAATCAGTACAGAACAATCAAAACAGACCGATCAATCTCAATACATTATTGAGGGTTTTACAAAACTGTCCTTTTTGTCACTTTCATTCAACCTTTTTTGATACAAGTTTGTCTCATTGAGCCACGAGGACTCATTTTCAAGAGAGACCTATTTAAGACAACAACAACAAAAAAAACTACAGAGGATGTACACACATCAATAAACAGTCATAAAAAGTATTTAGTTGAATGAATGAATGTAAAATGAAATGTAAATAAAAAAGATATGTAAATAAAAGTAATGATATAAAACAAAATAAAAGCAAGTTATGAAACTAGGTAAAATACTTAACAGGACCAAGTCTGCATTGATTTTTGCACTGAACTTAAAAGTTGTTTAAAATCCCTTAGAGAGGTCAAGGTCAACAGCTTCAGGTCTTTTTGCAAGGTGTTCCAGTTTACAGGAGTGGAGTAAGAGAAGGCCCTTTTGCCAAATTCAGTCTGTACTGAGGGGATGCTGCAGGTAATGATGTCTTAAGAGCGCACGTTGTAGCTGCACTGACGTGACATATAAGAGGAGATACTGTATATGAAGGCAGCAGACCAAAGAATGATTTAAAGATGAAGATATACCAGTGTGAGAGCCTAGATGTAGCTAATGATGACCAATTGACCAATGAGTACAGAGTGCAATGTTGGGTACGGTATTTAGTCTGTTATGAATCTTAGCGCGCCATGGTAGACAGCATCCAACATCTGCAAGGTGCCTGCAGGAGCATTCATGATTCAAGATTCAAGACATGATTGACAGCTGATGACTATCAGTTGATTGACAAGCAATAACTTCCTGTTCTGACTCACCTGAGCTGTTCCCTAGGGTATGATCCAAACTTGGTCCTGTTAATGGAGGGAAGGTGGCCCCTCTGGTTCTGATCCAGTCACTGTCATCATCCTGCTGCTGCCGCCAGTAACACCAGCCAGAATCAAAGCTGCAGCTGAGCTTCTCCTGGACTGAAAACAGACCAGAGCAGGACATGTTGAGATATTCGGAAATACTCTGATGGCTGTATGAAGTACAGCAACATTAAAACTGATGAGCATGCATCAGGATATCTGATGGCTGTAGTTCTGGTCAGACCTGCAGTCTTACCGGACAGGCTGGAGGTGTTGGCAGTGCTGTAGGTGGCACTGAACCCAGACAGACTGTTAATATCGTTAGACATAAACTCCACAGTTGATTGGTCACTCAGCAGCCACACAGTTCCAGGAGGGGTGGAGCCGGATAGCTCAGCTACCAATCAAAGGATGGTCAGATTAAAAAGTCATAAGCAGAAATCAGAACTGTGGTATGGCTCTTCACATCCTTCTTCTAGTCAGATCAAAAGTGAAGTTATGAAGGATACCCTTGAGCAACCCAAAGTAGCCCTGTTTTGACTTTTTTCAACAGAACTAAAAATACCTCAAAAAAGGATAAAGTAACTTAATTTACCTGTGAGCCGTTTGCTTGGTCCAACTCCTTCATAAAATTTCAGGGTGTCAAAGGTTTCTTCAGTCTCAAAGTGATGGAAGTTCACCTGAACCCAGAGTCCATCATCAACCCTGAAAACAACCCAACATCACATCAGCAAAAAACATACATAACAACAAAGATTTTTTGAATGAACTCTATCTTTGTAGCTGGAATATCACTCAGATATTTGACCTGGGTTATGACTGGGTTTTAATTATGGGGGATTTTAATATTCATGTGTGCTGTCCTGAAAAGCCTTTGGCTCAGGAGTTTTTAAAACTTATCCACTCTTTTAACTTTGTACAGAATGTTGTGGATCCCACTCATCAGCAGTGCTAAACCCTTAATTTATTTTTAACGTATGATTAACTTATTTGTTATGTGCACATTAACACAAGGTCAACAAATGCAATGAAATGTTCAGGAAGAGAAGAACCGATTAGACTCGCTAACAAAAACAAGAAATACTAAAGCATGCAATAAGGGTACAAACTAACCCTTGGTTGAAATGAGTCACGATAAGGTGTCTGCGGTACTAGATTGGCCAGTACCCAAGGATCGGAAACAGCTACAGAGATTCTTGGGGTTTGCCAACTTTTATCGTAGATTCATTAAAGACTATAGCCTCATTGCTAACCCCCTCCATGTTCTCACCTCCTCTAAAAAGAGGTTCCTATGGACTGAGGCAGCTAATGCAGCCTTTAATAAATTAAAGACTCTGTTTTCTACTGCCCCTGTTCTCCATACCCACAACCCCGAGGTACCATTTATCTTAGAAGTAGACGCGTCTAGTGTGGGTGTGGGGGCAGTTCTCAGCCAACAAAACGAGGAAGGAATTATTCACCCCTGTGCTTTCTTCTCTAGAAGCCTATCACCAGCTGAACAGAACTACGATGTCGGGGAACGTGAACTGCTCGCTGTTAAGCTGGCGCTGGAGGAGTGGAGGCACTGGTTGGAGGGCGCCCAGTTCCAATTCCAGGTTTGGACCGACCATAAAAATCTCGAGTACCTTAAGTCGGCCAAACGCCTCAACCCTCGACAAGCCAGGTGGGCACTTTTCTTTTCTCGTTTCAACTTTGCACTCACCTATAGACCCGGTCACAAGAACACCAAACCTGATGCCCTCTCTCGCATCATGGAGGAGGATTCTTGTTCCTCGCCCCCTCCCACCGGGGAGTTTATCCTCCCTAACTCTGCCCGCCTGGCTGTCACTCAATTGGAACTGGACCTGCGACAGGCCAACCAGTTGCACCCTCCTCCAACCAACTGTCCTCCTGACCGATTATTTGTACCCCCTGATTTTATTCAAGAAGTCCTCAAGTTTTGCCACAGCTCCCGCCTAGTTTGTCACCCTGGTTTTTCTAAGACTGTCTCTTTAGTTCGCGCACAGTTCTGGTGGCCCACGCTAAACCAGGACGTGCGCTCTTTTGTTTTATCCTGCCCTGCCTGTTCCCAAGCAAAATCCTCACGTCGTCCCCCTTCTGGTCTCCTCCGTCCCCTTCCTATCCCGTCACGCCCATGGTCCCACATCAGCCTTGATTTCATCACTGGTCTTCCCTCCTCTGCTGGCAATACCGTCATTCTGACGGTCGTTGACCGGTTCTCCAAAATGGTCCACCTGGTCCCCCTTCCCAAGCTCCCCTCAGCCAAGGTCCTGGCTGGGATCATGTCACGTGAGGTTTTTCGCCTGCACGGTCTGCCAACGGATATCGTTTCTGACAGAGGACCTCAGTTTATCTCTAAATTCTGGAGAGAGTTTTGCGGCCTCCTGGGGGTCTCCATTAGCCTCTCCTTTGGCTTTCATCCCCAGACGGATGGCCAGACGGAGAGGGTGAACCAGGAGGTCGAGGCCAAGCTGAGGATCCTCTGTCAGAAGGATCCCAGCCAGTGGTCCCCCAACCTGTCCTGGGTCAAACACGGCCTCAACACCGTCCCTTCATCTGCTACCGGTCTGTCCCCGTTTTATACTGTTTTTGGTTTTCAGCCCCCTCTTATCACCCTCCAGGAACGTGAATCCCAAGTACCCTCTGCTCACCAGTCAGCCTTACGCTGCCAACGCATTTGGCGGAGAGCCAGACGAGCCCTCCTGGAGACCTCCGCAGCCTACGTTAAAGGGGCTAACCGGCGGAGGTCTCAACAACCCACTTATCAGGAGGGTCAAAAGGTATGGCTCTCCACCAGAGACCTCCCATTAAAAGTAGACTCACGCAAACTTGCTCCCCGTTTTATTGGCCCTTTCCCCATATCCAAAGTCATCAACCCAGTTTCTGTCCGCCTATCTCTACCCAAGTCCATGAGAATCCACCCATCTTTCCACGTATCCAAGATCAAGCCCTTCTTGCCCTCCCGTTTTCACCCCGCCCCAGAAACCCCCCCACCCGCCCGGATCATCGATGGGGCACCCGCCTACACCGTACGTCGACTCCTCCGTTCCAGGAGATGGGGCAGAGGAGTCCACTATCTGGTCGACTGGGAGGGATACGGCCCAGAAGAACGCTCTTGGGTCCCCTCCCGTCACATCATCGACAAGTCCCTCATCAAAGACTTCCATCGTCTCCACCCGGACCAACCTCGGGGCGCGTCAGGTGCCGCGCCTTAAGGGGGGGATCTGTCACAGTTTACACTCTGTTTTTCCTTTTATTTATCACTCTGTTCACTGTTTGATATTCTTCTCTGCTCCTCTGGTATTTTCCTCTGCTGCTTCTGACAGCCTGCTGCATGTCACACCTCTCTCTCTCTCTGATTACTGCTGATGGTCTCCACCTGTTTCTGGGTGTATTTATACTTCCTGCTTTCTTCACTCTTTGCCAGATCAACTGCTTGCTTTTGTCACAGTTATCCAGCGTTTCCATAGTCTCACAGCTCTTTGTATCTTGACCCACGCCTGTTTCCTCGACCACGCTTTTTGCCTGCCCCTTTTGTACCTCAGCCCTTCAGACCTTGTTAATGACCTTTGCACGTTTTTGGATTTCGCCTTCGCCTCTCCCTTTTGGTACTGTCGCCTTTTCGGATCCCGTTAATGAACTCTGCTCGTCCTCGACTACGCCTCTGGATTCTCCTTGGTCCCTGCAGCTCTGTGTCTCTGCTGAGCAGCCCCCGACAACAAGAAAGGTTAGTGTTTTTTCAGACCGTCTGTATTCAGATAACTGTTGTTATTCTGTCAAAACACTAACCTCTCCTCTGTATCGTTTTAGACACAGTTCCAGCTCTGGACCCGAATCATCAGAAGCTGTTTATTCATTCAATAAACATTTTAAAACCATTCTGAGTTTGTGTGTGGGATCCTCTGCCATCTGATCCGTGACAGAGAGATCATATCTCTCCAGTTTTAGTTTCTCTCCATTGGCTCCCTGTCAAATCCAGAATAGAATTCAAAATCTTACTTCTAACCTACAAAGCTCCCAACAACCTGGCTCCATCTTATATTAAAGATCTTATTGTTCCATATTTTCCTAACAGAGCGCTTCGCTGTCAGACTGCAGGTTTACTTGTGGTTCCTAGAATTTACAAAAACAGAATGGGAGGCAGATTTTTTTAGTTATCAGGCTCCTCTCTTGTGGAACCAACTGCCAATCTCTGTCCGTGAGGCTGACACATTATCCAGTTTTAAAACTAGGCTTAAGACTTTTCTTTTTGCTAAATCCAATAGTTAGAGTCGGCTTGGGTTTCCTGAGCTGTCCCTTAGTTATGCTGCTATAGGCTTAGACTGCTGGAGGAAAAACTGACCACAATTTTCACTCTACTTCTGTCTTTACTTACTCTGCTCAACCTGTTTTGTCCATCCATCCATCCATTTTCTTTACCCGTTTATTCCTTTTTGGGTCACGGGGGTCGCTGGTGCCCATGTCCAACAATCACTGTGCGAGGGGCGGGGTACACCCTGGACAGGTCGCAAGTCCATCACAGGGCCACATAGAGACAAACGAGACAAACAACCATTCACTCTCTCACTCACACCTATGGACAATTTAGAGTTACCAATCAGTCTAACATGCATGTTTTTGGTCTGTGGGAGGAAACCGGAGTACCCGGAGAAAACCCACGCATGCACGGAGAGAACATGCAAACTCCACCCAGAAAGGCCCCCGGACCGGGATTTGAACCAGGGACCTGCTCGCTGAGAGGCAGCAGCTCTACCAGTTGCGCCACCGTGCTGCCTCAACCTGTTTTGTATTTGTAATTATTTTTTCTATCCTTAACATGTTTTTTTTGTCTTTCAGATACAACTGGACCTATACCTGGACCTACCATTCTGTGTTCGTCTGTCTCTCCTTCCTATCCTCTCAACCAGCCGGTCAAAGCAGATGGCTGCTTATCCTGAGCCTGGTTCTGCTGGAGGTTTCTTCCTTTTAAAAGGGAGTTTTTTCCTTTTCACTGTTGCCACTGTGCTTGCTCAGGATGGGAGACTGCATCAAAGCCAAGATTCATCTTGTCTGCTGGATTTCTTCGATTGAGAACTTTACTAATTGGCTTTTATGTATGTGAATGTTTCTGTAAAGTGCCCTGAGACAACTTCGTTGTGATTTGGCGCTATATAAATTAACTGAATTGAATTGAATTGAATGAATGCTCCTACAAGCACCCTGCAGATGTTGGATACTCTCTATCATGGTGCACTAAGAGTCATAACTGGCTGTAACTACTGTACCCACCACTACACCCTGTATTCACTGGTTAACTGGACATCATTAACTTCACATAGACTCTCCCACTGGTACATTTTCATCTTTAAATCACTTCTTGGTCTGTTGCCTTCATACATCTCTTCCTACATGTCTCTGCGTGAGTGCAGCTACAGCGTCCGTTTTCGGGACATTATTACATGCAGTGTCCACTCAGTGCAGACTGAACTTGGCAAAAGGGCCTTCTCCTACTCCGCTCTTTTTTTGGAATATCTTGCAAAAAGATCTGAAGCTCTCGACCTTGACCTCTCTAAGGGGCCCTTTACATGGCACATATTTTGAGTGCATCCGCAGCTTTCTCTCTGCGGTTCTGTTGATCATTTACACGACACCAGTGGCCCACCTTTTTGAATACGGAGGTTTTTCAACCCACCTTCCAGAGTGGAGTTTTTTTGCTGACCCCCGCTGATAATGTAAACATCTCTGCTGAGGCTTTGTGTTAAACCACATGCGCACATGCACGCGTGGACAGATGCTATATTTATATCAACATGGCAGTGGACACACTGCTTTCAGAACTACGACTGATGGAATATATTTTAAATCTTCTAGTTAATTTACTTCAGATTCTAAGTGCTGTGACTGACATCTGTGTTAGAAGAGACACAATCTGATCTAGTTCTAATATCGCTGTTTATAGGACATGGCACGCACACACGCCGCGCTGCACTATAACATATTAAATGTGCTAAATAATAACAGTTTAATAATAATAAACAGTATTTATGTTAGTGTGAGAGATATAATGAAGCTCTGAGCTAAATGAAGCTATATGGACATTATGTAATTCAAATTTAAAATGATGCTAAACATATAGCGTGAACACTAAAATTGAAAATGAAGACATCAGGTTTAATTTTTATTTATTTATTCAACACCATAAACTATGCCACACAAACACTGATAATTAACTTAAACACACTATTAAAACAAATTAACTGTAAACTACATTAATAAACAACTGGACTCTTGTTTTCATCCGGTATGGAAGTACCACATTGTTCATCTGGCTCATTCAGGCTGTCACTACTTTGATTAATGTAACTTAAAACATTCAATGGATTGAATAAAAGAACTGAGGGGAATTTTAAATAAATAGCTCATCCAACATCTCTCTCTTTTCAACGTCCTCCTGCACTGCACCTGGGCCGAGCCTTGTTCAGAACCGGACCGCCTGGTGTAAGGACAGCTTCTTCTTCTTTCAGGAAAATTAAAATAAAACCTCAGTTGGTTGTTGTGTGATCAAAGTAAACACAAGCAAACATTATTAAAAACGTTGAATTACCTGCTGTAAATCAGCTACTGATTATCATGTAGTAAAGTCCGACATCATTGACTCGGTTCTAGTCCACTCAGTGACCGGTGTGGAGCTGTTAGACAAAGAGGTCCCGCTTGGCATCAAATCTGTCAACACTTATCCACAATCCACCCAAAATCCAGCTTTAACTTGTTAAGTCGTTGTTAGCTGAGCTTTTTAGCTCACAAGAAAGGAGCGTGCCGAGGCAGCACGCATGCGCATTAGGTGAAGGTACAAAATTCACAGTGCCATCTAATGACCTGGCATGGTAACTACAGCGGATTCGGGAGGGTGGTGGGGGGGGGGGATTCCTTCGGATGCATGTAAACACAAAATCCGTCCGTGTCAATGCAAATCATTTCCTCTAATTAACATATGAAAAACACGTTTCCCCCATCATGTCCGTGTAAATAGGTCCTAAGTGGCTTTAAGAATCTGTTGGACTACTGGCATGGACCAATGCAGACATGTTCCTGTTTTTAGTTTTCTACATTTGCCTTATAGTCTAGCTGTTTGTGTTACTGTATATCCATCTTATTTGTAAAAATAAAAAAAAAATATGTGTGCCTTTTTTTAACTTTCTATTGTTGTCGCTGTTGTCCATTGTTGTCATCATTCTTTGTTGAAATCAGGTCTCTCTTGTAAATGAGTCCTTGAGGCTCAATGGGATTAACCTGTCTAAATAAAGGTTGAATGAAAAAAAAATCTCCCTTAAAGAAACTGATCCAGATGACATAATTTAACCTTTTTTGTTGTTAGTTGAAGTATAGATCACAGAATACAAAATGGCATAAAACACAACATACAACACAACATACACAATAAACATTACATTACCACATACAATGTAACATAGTTTGCAACATGTTATATTTTAGTTATTAATGTAACATGCAAAATGATTGTTGGGGATTAAGTTTGGCCACAGTGTGCAACAGTGTTTTAAGTTTTGTCGAAATGTTTAACAATTGTGTATCCAGCTCCCACCTGATGATCCAGCGACAGAAGCTGCTACTGTTGTACGTCTCATACTCTGATGAACTGAACAATCCACTTGGCCCTCCCAACACAAACTGACCATCACATGCTGTAGCTATGGAGAGGAGACAGCAAGTTCAATTCAATTCAATTCAGTTTATTTATATAGCGCCGAATCACATCAAAGTTGTCTCAGGGCACTTTACAGAAACAAGTTGTATCATGAAAGCTAAGCTCTTGAGCTAAGAGTTTATGTTGGTTGTTGCTGGAAAATTTACCTCAGTTATGAGAACATCACTTGTTAAGTCATCACACTTTGATATTGAATCAGATTAAAAAACACCTTGTCATAAACCTTCACTGACCACAATAAGCAACAGCTTCATCAGACCCATCAGAACATTCATCAACTCCATCACAGAACTGATTGATCAGAACACACATGGATCCATCATCACATGACATCTTCCCAGGAGGACATGTTACTGCAAAGAGAAAAGAGTTGTTAAAAACTGAATGGACTGAACAGGTGGAACAAGCACCTGAAGCTGACTTACCTCCTCTAGGTGTGTCTGTAATAGATGCCAGTGTTGTATGCACAGGTTTCGCTGCACAAACACATAGAACTGTTGGAGTTGGCTAAAATCAGAATATTAAAACTGACAAAACTGGTCCAAACTGTGCATGTTTAAGTAGAAGCATGTCATTCCACACAAATATGCCTGGGATCATTTGATCAACCTTTATTTATACAGGTTAGTCTCATTGAGCCTCAGGAACTCATTTACAAGAGACCTGTTTTTAACAAAGAATGATTACAACAGTAGACACAAAAGACAGCAGTAGATAATTATAAAATAAAGCATACACATTGAGAAGAATAAATCATAAAATGTTATTTAAAAAAAGTAATCCATAATGAATAAATGGATGAAACAAAAACAGTTAGACTGTAAAGCGGAATTGTACAAATTATAAGTGCTACAATATGCTTCACTGATTATGTTTTGGATTTAGATTTGGGCCTCTGACTTCTTGTGTATGAATCTCGCTTGTTACTCTGGACCTCACGCTTGGATTCCCCTTCAAACAATGCTCTGCGCAGCTCTGCTTTGCAGTTGCTCCTCACTCAGTGTTACTGATGTCATCACCTCCACCTCCCTCAAGGAGCCCCACCCTCACCTGGCTGTGAAGGTTAGACTGTATTTATATTCTACTGATCAGTGACAGTGAAGTCCAGTTTACTAATCCTCCTATCTCTGAAGATCGGCCCAGCCATTGGAATCAGACCTGCACCAGCAGCTGCTTATCAATAAACTTTTTAACCACTCCTGTGGTCCGGTGTCATACGTGAATCCTAAAACCATATTATTGTCACAGTATTCAGCCCTGCAGACAGAAACTGGAAGTTGATTCCACAAGAGAGAAGCCTTGTAGTGGACTCGGCCGCCGACCAAAAACTGCCTCTGAGGACCTTCATGGGACAGGAACTGTTATTACATTGATTTGAATCCAGAAATACAAATTAGCTCATCCAGAGACTGTCTAATTGTATCCTGAAGTAATCAATTGAAAGAACACTCTTCTTTTATATTATCATCACTATTTTACAATATCTTGATAAATCAAAAGTGTGTTTAGTTCATACAATTTCTAAATGTTGAAGTGAACCACTCATTTTAAATCAACTGTGAAAGAGTATTAATGATTTTTTAATCCTCATTTAAATTAGAAATCAAGTTAAATGTCTATTTTACAAAGTAATTATGCATTTTTCATCTTCTGTCTGAAATGAGAAGTAGTGATGTCGGTCGAAAGTCAGAAGAGGGAAGTTATTGGAACGAAGTGTCGTGTTTTTAGCTGGAGATCTCAACATTGATTGGTGTAAGTCGACCCCCCTCTGTGACAAATTCAAGGAATGTTGCTTGTCTTTTAATTTAACCCAACTGATCGACTCCCCCACCAGATTAAATAAAAGCCACCCTGACAATTCCTCCATCTTAGACCTGTTTCTAACTAATATGCCTCACAAATTCCCTGGTACAGGTGTATTCGCTTATCTTTTGAGTGATCATTGTGTGACAGCGGCTTTAAGAAATATTAAACTTCCACCTTCTAAGCCCAGATTAATTAAAAAAAGGGATCTGAAACATTTCTGTGAACAGTCATTCCTCTGGGATCTGTCTCACTTTGACTGGCATCGTATTCTGTTAACTGATGATGTGAACTCTGCTTGGAACTATTTCCATAATAATTTCATTTATTTCCTGAACTTACATGCTCCTTTTCGTCAGCTCAGAATAAAGGGACGAGACAGCCCCTGGTTTACTCCAGAGCTAGCTGACCTCCTGCACAGGAGAGATCATCTTTGGGCTGCAGCGAGAAAATCTGGCTCAGACACTGACTGGTTGAGTTTCCGACAGATGAGGAATAAATGCACAACTGCTGTTAAAGCAGCAAAACGCAACTATTTCTTATCTCAGACTTCCAAAAATCTAAATGACCCTAACAGATTCTAGAAAACAATTAAATCTCTCTCAGGCACCCCCCAATTATCTGACCTCCCATCACAACTTCTCGTTAACTCTGTTCCTGTGTCAAATAAGCACGAGATCCTGAACTGTTTCAACAAACATTTTGTTGCTTCTGGTTCTTTATTTGACACAGTTACTAACAAAAAATCAGCCACTTCACTTAATAACCAAACTTCTACAAATCAAATCCCTCGTACAAGTCAATCCTCAGTTAATCACACCTTCTCTTTTTCTCCATTCTCAGTCAGTGAGGTCAATAAACTGTTAAAAGATCTTGATCCTAAAAAATCTGCAGGTCCAGATGAACTTCCACCTTATTTCTTAAGGCTGGCTGCTCATATCATCACAGTCCCTGTGACCCACATCTTCAATCTCTCCATAAGACAAAACTCCATCCCAGACACTTGGAAAACAGCCTTTGTTCTTCCTTTGCTGAAGGGAGGTGACCCCACATCACTGAACAACTATCAACCAATCTCTAAACTCTGCATTTTAGCCAAGGTTCTAGAAAAACTGATAAACTCTCAAATCAAAAATTACCTGGACTCATTTAACATCTTACCTCCACATCAATCTGGTTTCAGGAAACAACACAGCACAACCACTGCTTCACTGAAGGTTCTTAATGACGTTGTTGAAGCACTGGATGCTAAGGATTATTGTGCTGCACTTTTCTTAGACCTGTCTAAAGCTTTTGACACTGTGGATCATAACATCTTGTGTCATAAACTCTCAGAAATCGGTTTCTCAGATCACACCATTGGTTGGTTCTCTAACTATCTTTCAGACCGGAGGCAATCTGTTCAACATAATGGTACTTCCTCCAGTTATTTAACATTCAACAATGGTGTACCACAAGGCTCAGTCTTAAGACCCACCCTCTTTACAATCTACATACATAATGTAGGTAAAAACATCCCTAATGCATCCATACATTTCTATGCTGACGACACAGTTTGTTGTCGAGCTAAAACAGTTGCTAAGGCTTTCCAGCTTTTGAAATCTGCATTCAACTACATCCAGACAGATTTGTTCCGCCTCAAACTTGTCCTAAATGCCGACAAAACCAAAGGGATGCTTTTTTCAAATAGGAAGTTGGTCCCAGCAGTTCTTCCTCCGATTTTATCCTCAAATGGTGTCCCCATTGAGTTTGTTGATTCCTATAAATATTTGGGTATCTTGGTCGACTCACATCTTTCTTTTAAGCTCCATGTGGAAAACTTGGTAAAGAAACTGAAAGTTAAACTGGGTTTCTTTTTCAGAAACAAATCCTGTCTAACCCTGAATGCTAGAAAACGCCTTGTATCTGTGACCTTCCTTCCCTCAATTGATTTTGGTGATATTATTTACATGAACGCTCCTACAAGAACCCTGCAGATGTTGGATGCTGTCTATCATGGTGCACTAAGATTCATAACTGGCTGTGATTATCGTACCCACCACTGCACCCTGTATTCATTGGTTAACTGGACATCATTAACTTCACGCAGACTCTCTCACTGGTACATTTTCATCTTTAAATCACTTCTTGGTCTGCTGCCTTCATACATCTCCTCCTACATGTCTCTGCGTGAGTGCAGCTACGGAGTGCGCTCTCAGGACATTATTACCTGCAGTGTTCCCTCAGTGAGGACTGAACTAGGCAAAAGGGCCTTCTCCTACTCCGCTCCTGTTTCCTGGAATATCTTACAAAAAGATTTGAAGCTCTCGACCTTTGACCTCTGTAAGTGTCTTTAAGAATCTGTTGGACTCCTGGCGGGGTCCAATGCAGACATGTTCCTGTTTTTAGTTTTATACATTTGTCTTGGAATCTAGCTGTTTTTTTGTTTTGTTACCTTTTTCCTTTTAGCCATCCTATTTGTAAAAAAAAAAAAAAAAAAAACTAGTATGAGTTTTTATAACTGCTTATTGTTGTTGCTGTTGTCCATTGTTGTCATCTTTCTTTGTTGAAATCAGGTCTCTCTTGTAAATGAGTCCTCGAGGCTCAATGGGATTTACCTGTATAAATAAAAGTTGATTGATTTTAAACCTAGCAGATGGTAAACAAGAGGCTACTGGCCTCTCTTCCTCCCACTTTGACATAACATGTCTTCTGTCTGTATGGGATGTTTCTAAAACATTCCTACTGTTTTCTTGACTTGTAATGACCCTCTGACTTCACTAGAACCACCCCCTGTTGGTTGCTTCAACCAATCAGGAAGTACTAAAGTGACCAGAAGTGAAAACTCTTTAAAAGTTGACACTTCCTGGAACTATGGAGTTCTGGAGTCAGTGCAGCAGTTCTGCAGTTCTCAGTCTTGAGTTGAACTCAGTCTTCATGGAGTCTTCATTTCCAAGTGGAAACTCTGAACGGACTCACAGATGCTTGCTGTGAGTCCACCCGGGCATAAATACCCTACAACTTCGAAGGGAGCTGAGCCTGTTTGTTGAACGGATAAGTGACACGACTTCTGACGGTGACCAGCCATCCTTACCGGAGACGCTGAAAGGTCGCGTTGAAATGGACTCTTGTTCCTGAGCGGAGGTATCCCGGCAAATGTAACGAGTCGTGAAACGTCAAGTGTACCAGAGGTGAGCTGGTATTGAAAGGAGCATGCCATCCTGGTCCGAACAGACACTCCCTTTATACATCTTCCTTCAAACCTCTCCATTTAAACTCCTCATATTTCCCATCTTTAAAACTCTTCTACTTCTCCAGTAATTAATCTAGAGGCCTTCAGAAATGTCTGTTGTTTTTATTATGTAAAACGTGCCAAGTTTTATTAATCAGAACCAGATCAACTAATCAAGTGTACAATGTTTTGATGTTAAATTTTCGTTCTGTTCAATAAATGACCGCATTGATTCTGATGGGTCAAAGAAAATTAACGCCTCATGTCACTGATTAAACCACCTATGCACAGTTACCTCGGTCACATGGCTGTAATGAGCTCGAAAAAGAGAGAACCCGGTATTTAAAATATATTGTAGTGAAGGTACAGCAAAGCTGACCTTGACACACTACATCTGTTGGCCCGTACGGGTCTCTAAATAGCTTTTGGTGGCCGTGTATGGTCTCTAAAATAGATAATTTA